AAACTTACCGTTTTCCTGAAAATCGCGAAAAACCAAATTTTTTCGAGATTTTTGACCTTTGACCTCGAATACATTTTTTTCCAGGCATCGCAATCATTCGGAATTTCAAAATCTTGTTTTTTACTATATTTTGAACGATTACACGCATTTGTAGCTTGTTGTAAATTTATGTACTTTCACTCTTATTTTTTAGTCTAATTTGATCGGACTTGAAATATTAATAGTGGCATACGGTGATTGTACTCTGGCTCTGAAAAATGGGGTTTACGCTTTTCACAGAAGGTAGAGAAGATGTGAATAACGACTACCGCCCTGAACTCACCAACAACCGATGAAAATGCTGAAAAAGTGAAAAAAATTGTTATATAGAATCGTCGAATTACTATTAGAGAAGTTGCTGAGGATGTTGGCATAACAGTTGGCTCATGCCAGGCATTTTTGTCGGGAATTTTGAGCATGACGTGTGTGACAATGAAATTCGTTCCAAAATTGCTGAATTTTGACTCGGTCAGGAATTGTTGAATGACGTCAACAGCGTTCCGGATTTTCTTCAAAGGGTCATAACTGTCAACGAATCCATGGGTATATGGTTATGACATCAAAACCAAAGTCCACTTGTCCCAATGGAAGAGCCCAGGAGAGCCAAGACCAACAAAAGCACATCAAATTCGATCAAATGTCAAGGTTCTTTTCAGTTTTCTTCTATCATCATGACATAGTGCATCAGTTCTTGCCACATGGTCGTACGTTCACTAAAGAGTTATTATCTTGGAAGTTATGCGCCGCTTGCGAGAAGCAATACGAAGAAAACGTCCAGTATTGTGGAAAAACAATACCGTAATCATGCCTGAGACACCTTATTCACCAGATTTGCCTCCCTGGGATTTTTTTTCGTTTCTATGATTGAAAAGGCCCTTGCAAGGATGGAGTGCTGCAACAATTGATAGGATAAAACCGAATCGCTGATGGAGCTCGAGGGTATACAAAAAGTGCATATTAGAACTGTTCCAAGGATTGGAAAAACGCTGGTACAAGTGTATTTTATCTGAGGGGGAGTACTTTGTAGGAGGCAAAATAGATATTGATGAATAAATGAGTAGTTTTTGAGAGTAGTGTATAAAATATTTTTGTTAGGAATGTGAATTTTTCAGCAAACATTTTTCTCTTACGAAGTTGTTGATACTGCTTTCGAAGGCGGAGGAATCTTCAATATATACTAATTTTAACCAATACCTGCACTGACCAAAAAGATCTCATGTTCATTAATTTTTCAGATAGAAAAAGACCCCGCTCAATTCAATGAAGAAGATTTACGAACAATTCGCGAATATGAGGAAAAAGTTGTGTTCCTCAACAGTGAAAGAGAAAGATACAAAAATATATTAGACACCGAATTCACGAAAGCGTCAATAGCAGTTCGAGATACTATAAGAAAATTCAACCAGAAAGTGAAGGATACTATGAACTACAAAATGTTCATTGATTCTGGAATGAACCAAGAGAATCTCATCGTTAATCGAGCCAGGTTGAACCAAAACGAAAGAATCAAGTTATACAGGAGGGAGGAGGAAATAGAGTAAGTAGAAAGAATGAACAATTGTTATAGAATATTTTCCTCAGTACATTCAAATGAAAAGTTGGAAGCCTTATAGATTTTTACAGCAAATAAATAGTGAAGATAAACCGGTTGTCGTATCTAAATTTCTAAAATTTGAAGTTAAAACTAAGCATTATGAGTTCATACTTTGTTTTCCTTCACTGGATGTAATCCTT